CACTTGAGCTCAGGAGTTTGAGACCAGCCTAGGCAACATGGTGAAACTTCATCTCTACTGAAAACATAAAAAATTAGCCAGGTATGGTGGTGCATGCCTATGGTCCCAGCTACTTGGGAAGCTGAGTGGGAGGATTGCTTGAGTCAGGGGAGGCAGAGGTTGCGGTGAGCCAAGATCGCACCACTGCACTCCAGCCTGGGTGACAAAGAGCCCATATCTCAAAAAACTAAAATAAAATTAGAGATGAAAGAAGAGACATTACAACTGATACCACAAAAATTCAAATGATCATTAGTGGCTACTATAAACAATTATATGCCAATAAATTGGAAAATCTAGAGGAAATGAATAAAATCCTAGATACATATAAACTGCCAAGATTGAACCATGTTATTTGAAACCTAGATAGACCAATAACAAGCATCAAGATCAAAGTCATAATAAAATGTTACTGATTTTTGTATGTTGATTTTGTATCCTGCAAGTTTACTGAATTTTAAAGTTCTTTTCCTCCCCATAAAAAAAAGCCCAGGACCTAATGGCTTCGCTGCTGAATTCTACCAAACATTTAAGGAAGACTTAATACTAATCCTACTCAAACTGTTCCTAAAAATAGAGGAGCAGGGAATACTTCCAAACTCACTCTCTGAGGCCAGTATCACTCTGATAGAAACACTAGACAAAGACACATCAAAGAAAGAAAACTACAGGCCAATATCTGTAATGAATATTGATGCAAAAATCCTCAACAAAATACTAGCAAATCAAATTCAACAATCCATTAAAGCAGTCATTCGGTCAGACACAGTGGCTCATGCCTGTAATCCCAGCACTTTGGGAGGCCGAGGCAGGTGGATCACCAGGAGTTTGTCCAATATGGTGAAAACCTGTCTCTACTAAAAATACAAAAATCAGTTGGGCATGGTGGCAGGCACCTGTAGTCCCAGCTACTTGGGAGGCTGAGGCAGGAAAATTGGTTGAACCTTGGAGGCGGAGGTTGCAGTGAGCTGAGATGGTGCCACTGCACTCCAATCTGGTCAACAGAGCAAGACTCCATCTCAAAACAAAAGCAAAAACGAAACAGGGATGCAAGGATGGTTCAACATGTTGTGAATGAATCAATGTGATAAATTATATCAACAGAATGAAGGACAAACACCATATAATCATTTCAATTAATGCTGAAAAAGCATTTGATAAAATTCCACATCCCTTCATGATAAAAATCCTCAACAAACTGGGCATAGAAGGAACATATCCCAACATAATAAAAGCCATATATGGCTGTGCGTGGTGGTTCACACTTGTAATCCCAGCACTTCAGGAGGCTGAGATAGGAAGATCACTTGAGACCAGGAGTTTGAGATCAGCCTAGCCAACATGGCAAAATCTTGTCTTTACTAAAAATACAAAAAATTAGCCTGGCATGGTGGTGTGTGCTTGTAGTCCCAGCTGCTTGGGAATCTAAGTCATGAGAATTGCTTGAACCTGGGAGGCAGAGGTTGCAGTGAGCCAAGATTGCACACTGCACTCCAGCTGGGGCAACAGAGCAAGACTCTGTCTCAAAAAAAAAAAAAAGGTCATACACAATAGACCCAAAGCTAGTATCATATTGAATGGGGAAAAACTGAAAGCCTTTCCAATAAGATCCGGAAAAAAGACGGCCACTTTCACTACCATTATTCAAGACAGTACTGGAAGTCCTAGCTACAGCAATCAGATGAAATAAAGAAATAAAAGACATCTAAACTGGAAAAGAAGATGACAAATTATCCTTGTTTGCAAATAATATGATCTTATGTTTGGAAAAACCTAAAGATGCCACCAAAAAAACTGTTAGAACTTTAAAATTTATTATTAAACTATTGTTTACTGATAAACAAATTCAGTAAAGTTGCAGGATACAAAATCAACATACAAAAATCAGTAGCATTTCTATATGCCAACAGTGAACAATCTGAAAAGAAAATTAAAAAAGCAATCCCATTTACAATAGCCACAAATCAAATTAAATACCTAAGTATTAACCAAAGAAGTGAAAGATTGTTACAAAGAAAACTATAAAACATTTGTGAAAGAAATTTAAGAGGACACACCAAAAAATGAAAAAATATTTCATGTTCATGGATTGGAAGAATCAACATTATTAAAATGTTTATACTACCCAAAGCAATCTATAGATTCAATGCAATTCCTGCTAAAATATCAATGACATTTTTCACAGAAATAAAAAAAGAATCCTGAAACTTATATGGAAACACAAAAGACCCAGAATGGCCAAAGCTATCCTAAACAAACAAAAAAAACAAACAAAACAACAACAACAACAAAAAACTGGAGGAATTACATTACCTGAATTCAAATTATACTACAGAGCTATTATAATCAAAACAGTATGGTACTAACATAAAAACAGACCCATAGAACAGAATAGAGAATCCAGAAACAAATCCATATAGCTACAGTAAACTCATTTTCCACAAAGGTGCCAAAAACATACATTGGAGAAAGAACAATCTCTTCAATAAAATGATACTGGGAAAACAATATCCATAAGCAGAATAATGAAACTAGACCCCTATCACTCACCACACAGAAAAATCAAAATAAAATGGAATAAAGACTTAACTATAAGCCCTCAAAATATAAAACTACTGCAAGAAAACTTGGGGAAACTCTCCGGGACATTTGTCCTGGCAAAAATTTCTTGAGTAAAACCCACCAGCACAGGCAACCAAAGCAAAAATAAATGGGATCACATCAAGTTTAAAAGCTTCTGCACAGCAAAGGAAACAGTCAACAAAGTGAAAAGACAACCCACAGAAAGGGAGAAAATATTTGCAAACTACCCATCTGACAAGGGATTAATAACCAGAATATATAAGGAATGGCAAACAACTCTGTAAGAAAAATAATAATCTAAGCTTTAAATGGGCAAAAGGTCTGAATAAACATTTCTCAAAAGAAGACATACAAACAGCAAACAGATATATGAAAAGATGCTCAACTGTTGAGTGTGGTGGCTTATACCTATAATCCTAGCACATTGGGAGGCCAAGGTGGGAGGATCACAAAGTCAGGAGTTCGAGTAGCCTGGACAGTATGGTGAAACACCATCTCTACTAAAAATACAAAAATTAGTCAGGCATGGTGGCGGGCACCTGTAGTCCCAGCTACTTGGGAGGCTGAGACAGGAGAATAGCCTGAACCCAGGAGGCAGAGGCTGCAGTGAGCCAAGATCGCACCACTGCACTCCAGCCTAGGTGACAGAGTGAGACTCCATTCAGGAAAAAAAGAAAAGAAAAAGTACTCAACATCATTGATCATCAGAGAAATGCAAATCAAAACTACAATAAGATATCATCATATCATCCCACTCCAGTTAAAATGGCTTTTATCCAAAAGCAAGGCAATAACAAATGCTGGCAAGGATGTGGAGAAAGGGAACCTTCATACATTGTTGGTGAGAATATTAATTAGTACAACCACTACGAAGAACAGTTTGGAGGTGCCTCAAAAAACTAAAAATAGAGCTACCATACAATGCAACAATCCCACTGCTGGGTAATAACCAAAAGAAAGGAAATCAGTATATCGAAGAGATATCTGCATTCCCATGTTTGTTGCAGCACTATTCACAATAGCCAAGATTTGTAAGCAACCTAAGTGTTCATCAACAGATGAATAGATAAAGAAACCAGAGTTTCTTTATATATACTTATATATAATGGAGTACTATCTAGCTATACAAAAGAATGAGATCCTGTCATGTGCAACATGAAGGTCATCATGTTAAGTGAAATAAGCCAGGCACAGAAAGACAAACTTCTAATGTTTTCACTTACCTGTGGGATCTAAAAATCAAAACAATTGAACTCATGGAGATAGAGAGTAGGCTGGGCGTGGTGGCTCACACCTATAATCCCAGCATTTTGTGAGGCCTAGGCAGGTGGATTACCAGAGGTCAGGAGTTCAAGACCAGCTTGGTCAACATGGTGAAACCCCATTTCTACTAAAAATACAAAAATTAGCAGGGTGTGGTGACAGGCGCCTGTAATCCAGTTACTTGGGAGGCTAAGGCGGGAGAATCACTTGAACCTGAAGACAGAGGTTGCAGTGAGCCGAGATCACACCACTGTACTCTAGCCTGGGCAACAAGCCAGACACTGTCTCCAAAAAAAAAAAATGTTCAGAAGACAGATTTCATGTTATATATTCTTTCCACAATAATTTTTTTTAAAGACCAAAAAATTGGACATAAATGTTCACTATTATGAGATTGTTTAAATAACTTATTCTGTCCCTACAGATCAATATTACGCAACCCTTAATAATGATGACCTAGTTTTATATGTATTAGTTTGAAAGACATTAATTGTAAATTATATAGCAAAAATGTAACCAATAGAGGATTGGTCCATTTAAAATGTGTGTGTGTTCATTTAAATGTAAATCTGTTGACAATGGTTTTCTATGTTTATGCATTTCTCTATTACCTAAATTTTTTACAATGAGCATATATTTTTTGAGGAAAAAACAATGACAATGTTTTTGAAAATTATTTACAAGTTGTTCTTATTAAAATTTACATTAATTCATTTTCCTTAAATTTCCTTTAAGGATTATTTGGCTATCAATATCAATTTTACATCATCCTAGACTTTGTTCTGAAATTTAAATGAGTGTAAATACTTAATTGCTCAGTCAAATACCAAACACTTGAATCCACAGGCTCTGTGCCTTTGGAACAGATGATTATGAAAATAAATGGTTCTGCAGAGTTCACATTTACTAGAGGTGTCAAAAAATAAAGATGGATTACAAAAGCTCTGAAAAACGTGTGGCTTCTAGTGTATGATGGTTTTGAAAAGGGATGAGTGTGTTTATATGTGTGTTATGTTTGTGTGTAAACACACATACCTGTATCTTTCATAAGTATATGTGAGAATTCCTGTCTATGCTCATGGTGTGTATTTTCTCATAGGTAATCAAATCTGTACCTCCAAGGCAAGCCATATTTGCTTTCATGTTATGTTCCGGAAACCAGCCTCAACCCATCTGCAAAAGGTTTTGGTGTCGGGCCTGCTCCACTCTGGCCACCTGCAGTGGAGATGAGCTATTTTTGGCAAAGGCGCAGAGTAGAAAGGCAACTCAGGCTACTGCCCAGGAAGTCAGTTGACGAGGCGCGCGAGACACTTCAGCACCACGGACACGGGCAAGCCTGATCCAAGTCCCGCGGAACAGCCTGGGGAGATCGCCCCCGCCAGGAGCTTCCCCCAGCCCTCTGGGCCCGGGGCATCACTATCTCCAGGCCCTCGGTCGTCTCTCGGACGCGAGGTTTCCGCCTCGCTCCTCGCGGAGCGGGGAGAAAAGCTGGCCCGAGATGAAGGTGCGCGTTGATTCCTCACCAGCCCCCAAATGAGTCTCCTTCCAGCGCGACCCTTCTTCCCTTTCCTCCTCTCAAATAAGGCCAAATGGATGCACGTGGCGTAGAAATTCTATAGAGCCCAGAGGACTGTCAGAAAAGATTCGCGTTTTCCTTCCTGTGGCTGCTGGAAGCTCAGCGGACTTGCCCTGAGCCTCTGGCGCCACTCTTGGCTGTGTCCTGGCCCTTCCTCCACTAATCCTTGGCCTTCGTCTTCCCTTGGGAAAAGATTTCTACAAACCGTCGATGTACCACGAAAATCTCAGCGCACATAGACTGGCTTTCAAGAGTCATGGACATGAGACAAGAGAGTAATGGAAAATACGAATTGGCCATATTTCTAAAACCATCCAGCCTTTTAATAAACTTATATTTGAAATTGATCCCATGACGCCACAGGACTCACCCTTGCTTGGGTGGGCTACTGGGAGAGAGGAAAGCAACAGCCTCCTGCCTTTAACATGGACGCTGCGGGAGGGCCCAGACACGCGACGGCAGCAAGAAAAGGGAAACAGGGCTGTAGCCCAGCAGTCCCCGCGTCCTGGTTCTCCAGAGAACAGTGAAGAGAACTGCGGCCCCGCGGCCTTTCAAGCTTTGTGCTGAGCACCCCGAGGTCTGCAAAGGGGGCGGGCGCATCGCCCCCAGCCCGGCCCATACCCAAAAAGACTGCTCTGCCCCTTATGTAGCAACTAAACACGGGTGTGTGGGGTTCGGGGTCCACTCTCACTCCCCTGTCGGGGCTGCCGGGCAGGCAGGGTCAAGGTCCCAGTCCGCCGCCGCCGCCGACCGGCTCCCGGGGCCAGCTTACCTGCGTGTCGAGGCGAGGAAGGTGCGCTCGGAACCCGGGAGGCGACCGAGGGGCGTGCGCTCTCCGGGGAAAAGCTAGGCTGGCGCTGCCCGGAGGGGTGCGGAGCGAGAGGGGCGCCGCCGGCGCGGACTCTGCGCCTGCGCTCTCCGCCGCCCCCACCCCACAACCTGACTGGCGCCGGAGTCGAAGACGGTGGGGGGCGCCCAGGGTTTGTGCCTGAACTGAAGGACTTCCTCTACCCGCGCGGTAGGAGGGTCTAAGTCCGGGAAGCCGCCTGCCGGGGCCCCTCTAGTTTACGCCCTTGGAGGGCGCCTGTTTGAAGCAACCGCCTGTCTGATAGGGCGATATAATCCTCTGCAAGTGGACAGGGAGGCACTTTCTGTCCATTTCCACCCAAGTTTGCTCTTAAAAGTCTCAAGTCGATTCCTTGGTGTTTAAATATGTGTCCAGCATCGGAAAATCGTGGTCCAGAAAAGTCTTCGGGCGTCCCCGAGTCCACCCGCCATTTTACTGATTCGGTCTCTGAGGGAAGGGTGAGGATACTGCACAGCTGGTTCTTCTACCCAGTTCCATATGCCCCAGTCCCAAGTGTAATGAATATAGATAGCCTCTTGGAAATAGACTAGTCATCAAAGCAGTGGATTCTATGGGTCCAGGGACAGGCAGGAAGGCTATAACCCTGGGACAGACAAGAAAGGGTAAGGCCTGAACCAAGGTGCTGGCTGTGGGGAAAAAAATAAATAAATAAAAAACAGGAGGTGCCTGCTGGTTTTTCCTCTGTCCCTTCAGACCCACTCTCCACTCTGCTGTGATTCAGGACTGACCATTATGGGCCACGTCAACTAAAATCTGGCTTTCAATTGGCTTTGGCAAGTGGGAGGCACCTGCAGATCAGAAGGCAGGATGTGATTCAGGACCTCCCATGCATCCCCAGCGGGCCACCCTATTTGTAGTGACTATGTTCTTCAACTGAAAGCCATTATTCCCATCCTGTGGCCCTCTCCCGCAGTTTTCTCCAGATCCTGGTTACCACTAACTACACTTGCCCCTTCAGGCCTGGGGTGGGTAATGGCACCCAGAGGTTTCCTTTAACCCTATTCACACCTTTTTTTTTTTTTTTTGAGTCTTGCTCTGTCGTCCATGCTGGAGTGCAGTGGAGTGATCTCAGCTCACTGCAACCTCTGCCTCCCAGGTTCAAGTGATTCTCCTGCCTCAGCCTTCCGAGTAGCTGGGACTACAGGCCCGCTCCACCACATCCAGCTATTTTTTTTTTTTAATAGAGATGGATTTTCACTGTGTTAGCCAGGATGGTCTTGATCTCCTGACCTCGTGATCTGCCCACTTGGGGCTCCCACAGTGCTGGGATTACAGTCGTGAGCCACCACACCCGGCCCCCATCCACACCTTTTTAAATAGTCCCTTTATTAAACTCTCTTCAACTATCCCATCTTTTCCCACCTTTCCAGGACATTATAATAGATTTTAATCCATTTCGGTTGGTAAAATTCATGAGGACAAAAAGATATGTAAAAGAAATATGGGGCTTTTAAAAGGTGAGAAGTCTTCCAGAGCCATCTTGACAGTTACCTGGGCTCCAGGCAGCCAGCATGCTAGGTGGTCTCCCCACTGGGCCCCATAGCCCAAGGGTGCCAGTTTAAGTAGACCCAAGAATGGAATTCAGGGTGCTCATAAACGGTGTGATCACAAAATGGCTGGGGATCATTTGAGTGTCCAGCATAACAGGATTTTGGATTCCTCTTGAGGTAGAGAGACAATTTAGATCTTTATAGAGCAAGTGCTGGTGCTCTCCCAACTACAGCTGGGCTGCTTTTGAATGAGTCAATATTCTTAGGACACTTGAGAGAGTCCTGGGCACAGGGTCTGATAAATGTGCTTAACAAGAAACTGCTGAGGGAAGCAATTGTCAATTGAGAGACTCTGGCTGTTTCTGTAGAAAACCCAAGAATGTTCCCAAAGAGGCGGGGAAAAGGCAAGGGAGTGGGAAGTCATTAAATTGCCTCTAGCACACTATGGTGTGCTTGGCCTGAATCCAGAATTTGACCATTTCTCAGGCTTGTAAAAACAACCAAACTGATTTTGACTACTTTGATTCCTTCCCCATCCCCTTAAAAAACTAAACAAAAACAAAATGAACAAATAAACAAAAAACCTACCAGTGCATTATCTTAGCAAGACTTACCCAAAGGGACCTCCAGCTGTAGCTATTTGCAAATAGAATTGATGTCCAAGCAAACACACTATTTGTACTGAATACAAATGAGACCAGAACAGAACATTTAACATGTAAATATTTCCATACTTTCACCCTTCCCAAGAGAAAGGATCATTTGTTGTTCAGACAGGCATTAATTGTGTTGATCTCAATAAGGAATAGAGGTAAAGAAGCAAAAGGAGCCTCAGAAGTCTAGGCTGATCTGCAAGGCTCAGTTAGATTTTTTGTTTTGGAGAAGGTGGGATGGATGGAGTGGGCATGAAGAAGACAGCCAGCAAAGTTTTGAGTAAGAGAGTAAGAAAAAAAGACCTAGAATGAGCTGACTTTAGGAGAGACTTCTGTGAGTTTTGAGAGAGACTAGGGATTTAGCACAGCTGACATTCTGAGTGACACTAAGGTATAGAAAGATATGAAAGAGGATTTTTAGACATTTTGTGATGTGTAATAAATGGAATTATTTTGTACTATGATACGTAGGGCTTTTCATTAAAAGTGTCAAAAATTTAAACTCAGATCAATTTAAGAAAGAGTGTATTTGGCTTAATAACTGAAAAATCCATAGATAGGTAACTTCAGATATGCCTACATCCAGGAATGCAAACGATGACATCAGGACGTAGTCTCTCATTTTCTCTTTGTTGCCTTCAAAGACGTTGTTCTCACATAGTGATTTCTTGCCACCTTTCCCCAGTGTTCAACTTATATCATCCTTATAGCTAAACATTCCAAAAGAAGCAGAGCACTTTTTTCCCAGTAGTTTCAATAAAATCTTGAGCTTATGTCTCATTGGCAAATTCATATACCTTAATCTAGAGACAGGACCGAGCATGGTGGCACACACCTGTAATACCAGAACTTTGGGAGGCCAAGGCAGACATATCACCTGAGGTCGGAAGTTTGAGACTAGGCTGACCAACATGGAGAAACCCCACCTCTACTAAAAGTACAAAATTAGCCGGGTGTGGTGGCACATGCTTGTAATGCCAGCTATTCAGAAGGCTGAGGCAGGAGAATCCCTTGAACCCAGGAGGTGGAAGTTGCAGTGAGCTGAGATCATGCCATTGCACACCAGCCTGGGCAAAAAGAGCAAAACTCCATCTCAAAAAAAAAAAAAAAAATCTAGCGACAGAAAATGGGGGAGAGGTCATCCTCCAAAAGAAAATCAAGATTCTTTTACCAGAAGAGACCATACAGTGATGAGCAGGTGAAAAAATAAAATATCCACTACAGGTACCTCTCAAAACAACTTCAGTTAAGATATATATTACTTTCCAGTATTTTTTGCGTTACCAAACTAGTGTTTCTTTTGAAAATGACAGCAAAGTAGCTAAAATGTTCCTTTAACTTAAAAAATAAAGTGAAATGTTCTCTGGTGCAGTGGCTCACACCTGTAATCCCAGAACTTTGGGAGGCCAAGGTGGGCAGATCACTTGAGGTCAGGAGTTCGAGACCAGCCTGGCCAATATGGTGAAACCCCATCTCTACCAAAAATACAAAAATTAGCTGGACATGGTGGTATGCACCTGTAATCCCAGCTACTCGGGAGGCTGAGGCAGGAGAATTGCTTGAACCCGGGAAGCAGAGGTTGCAGTGAGTTGAGATCGCACCATTGCATTCTAGTCTGGGCATTGCAGCAAGACTCTGTCTCAAAAAATAAATAAACAAACAAACAAACAAATAAGTGAAATGTCTTGCTCTTCCTATACAAAGAGATACCAGAAAATATTTTTTAAATGTATTTTGGTCTGAGTTTTCAAATACTCATAGCTTTTATTTAAGTAAAAAAGGCCCCTTTCTGATCTAGAAGAACTAGAATCCTCAAAGCCCTGAATAAGTTACCAGAATTCCTCATTACCATTGTGGAGATACTTATGTCCTCTTATCAACATTATCATCTTCACTCTCACAATCAGATACAAAGCTCAATACAGTTGACTCTTGAACAACATCAGTTTGAATTAGACAGATTCACTTATCCGTGGGCTTTTTTTTTTCCCAATAAATACACTGGAAAAGTTTGTGGAGACTTATGACCATTTGAAAAAACTTCCAAACCTAGCCTAGAAATATTTAATAAATAAATAAATAAATAAGAAAAAGTTAGGTACATCATGAATGCCTCCTGGATTCAAGTGATTCTCGTGCCTCAGCCTCCCAAGTAGTTGGGATGACAGGTGCCTGCCACCACGCCTGGCTAATTTTTGTATTTTTAGTAGAGACGGGGTTTCACCATATTGGCCAGGCTGATCTCAAACTCCCGACCTCCGGTGATTTGCCCGCTTCGGCCTCCAAAGTGCTGGGATTACAAGTGTGAGCCACCATGCGTAGCCTGTAATTTTGTCTTTTGGCAAATAGTTTGAAACATAACCATAATCTTTATTTCTTTTTCTTTTTTTTTTTTTTTTTTGAGAAGGACCCTCACTCTTGTCACCCAGGCTGGAGTGCAATAGCGCGATCTTGGCTCATGGCAACCGCTGCCTCCCAGGTTCAAGCCATTCTCCTGCCCTAGCCTCCCTAGTAGCTGAGATTATAGGCACCTGCCACCATGCCTGGCTAATTTTTTTGTATTTTTAGTGGAGAAGGGGTTTCACCATGTTGGTCAGGGTTGTCTTAAGCTCCTGACCTCAGGTGATCCACCCTCCTAGGCCTCCCAAAGTTCTGGGATTACAGGAGTGAGCCACTGTAGCAGGTCCTTTTTTGCTTTTCTTTTTTCTTCCTTTTTTTCTGAGACAAAGTCACTCTGTCACCCAGGCTGCAGTGCAGTGGCTGATCTCAGCTTACTGCCACCTCTGCTTCTCAGGTTCAAGCAGTTCTTCTAGTAGCTGGGAATACTGGCCTGTGCCACCATGCCTAGCTAATTTTTTGTATTTTTAGTAGAGATGGGGGTTTCACCATGTTGGCCAGGCTGGTCTTGAACTCCTGGCCTCAAGTGATCCACCTGCCTTTGCCTTCCAAAGCCCTGGGATTATAGGCATGAGCCACTGCACCCACCCTATAATCTTTTTAAATAAAAAATATTTGAATGAGGCCAGGCACAGGAGAATCACTTGAGCCTGAGAGGCAAAAGTTGCAGTGAGTCGAGCTTATGCCATTGCACTCCAGCCTGGGCAACAGAGCGAGACTCCAACTCAATAAATAAATAAATACATAAATTAATAAAGATATTTAAATGAGATAAGGCAGGGGTGGAGTTGAAAAACTTTAAAACAAAGGAAGATAAAAAATTGCACTTTAGGAGTGGCTCATGCCTATAATCCCAGCACTTTGGGAGGCCAAGGCAGGCAGACCACCAGGTCAGGAGATCCAGAACATCTTGGCTAACACAGTGAAACCCCGTCTCTACTAAAAATACAAAAAATTAGCCAGTAGTCCCAGCTACTCGGGAGGCTGAGGCAGGAGAATCGCTTGAACCCGGGAGACAGAGATTGCAGTGAGCAGAGATCATGCCATTGCACTCCAGCATGGGCAACAGAGCAAGACTCCATCTCAAAAGAAAAAAAATA